ATTTGCAAAGTAATTTTAAAATGGGCAAAACACATTTCTTCAACAAGACACACAAATTGGGGATGGTGGTATATACTCCTGTAGTCCCAGCTACTCTGGGCCATCAAAGGGAGAAAGAGTAGATAGAGGCAGAAGAGTGGGCAGGAGGAAAAGATGGAAGATTTCAGCTAATTTCAAGTAAGATTCTAAATGTTTGGCTACCTAACGAAAATATTAAAGCTTTCATATTTCAGTGACTTGTATATGAACTTTTTGTTTTGGTGGTGGTGGTGGTACTGGGGTTTGAACTTAAGGCCTTGGGCTGCTAGGCAAGCACTCTATCACTTGAGCCATACCCCACTTCCATAAACACTTCTTAATCCTAAAAAACAAAAGTGAAGTGTTATCAGCTAAGGGGATGAAACTAAAAAAGTACTGTTCATCGCATTCTGGGCCAGTGAAAATCCATTAGGTCAGAAGTAATTTAAGGCAATTTGTCAACTTTAAAGGATTAATTCATCATTTTAGTTTAAAAAGGGGTGAGGGGCTGGAGATGTAGCTCAGTGGTAGAGTGCTTGCTTAACATGCACCAGTATCTGGGTTTGAACCCTGGTACTACAAAAAGTAAAAAAAGAAAATAAAGAAAAAAGGAGGGAGGGAAGGAGGGAAGGAAAGAATTAAACTTCTTATTTGACATTAGGCAGGCCAAACTAGAAGGCCACTGAATCAATTTTTAAAGTTCTATTGGCCTGAGGGTTACATTAACATAACCTAATAGAAGAAAGGCTATGCAGAGACCAATGACAACACAGAATGTATTTGATACTGTTTCATTATGAATAATGCCATTGCTAAGTTCCTAAAGCAATGTTTTTTTAACTGGGGAAGATTTTTTACTGTACTCTAAATTTAGTACCTTTAAATTTTTTGAAGAAGATTCAGCAATGATTCTATAGTTTATTTGCAAGACCCCACAGCATTTTGCTAGCCTGTGCCAGCAAGGGCATTTCGGAAGTGAGTTTCAGCCTTGTCCTTTCTTGCTAGGCTCCATCACAGAACCTCCCAGATTCTGCATTCAGAATCTCCTTTTCTATTTGGAGGGAAAAAAAGAACATTTTTAAAAACTACATAGTCATTCCATTGGTCTGAGCTAATCTCTCCTCTTTGACCTTATTTCAATGAAAGTAAATTTTAGATTTGAACAAATGACATTTTTTAAAAGCTGCTACTGGGGCTACAAAGTGTTACCCAACCTCCGTAGAATATGAGCTGGTAGAAGATTTGTATAAAAGAAATAGATCCCATGGCTAGACTTCAATAGCTGTCTGTCTACTGGTGAGGAACCCCAACACAACTACTTTCTCTCTGAATGAAATGTACCATGAGCTCTTTTCCATTGACATTGTGAAGAGAGAGGCTGAAAATGGGGACCACATATAGCTTCAGGAAACACTGGTGCATTTCGGTAAGCAGAAATTGATAGAATATTTATAGCTTTGTTAACAAAAGGAGCTTGTTAGTGTAGGACAACCATAAAAATGTGTCACAGTGGCATGCTGTGATTGTGTAGTATGTATATTTGTGGATAAATCATATTTATAGCACTATCTGATGGTAATAAAACTATTATAATGCTAAATTATTTCAGTTAGGGCTAGAAGATTTTTTTGTTCTTGGGTATAGACAGCTTCTTCCCAGGTTGTATTTTCAAATTTCCCTTTGTAAGAAAAAAAAAGTGTCAGGGGCGGGGGGGTGGGGTGGTTAGTAACTAATTTCATTATGTGATTTAAACTTAATCAGGACACTAGATTTTTACTGTTTATCCTTCTCATTTTGCATGTAGAAAAGTAATAATATGTACAGAGTCCATGTAACGATCCTATAGAGAAGCATTTTTCTTTAAGAGTCTTCAATTAAATAACAATTATTACTTATCCTCTTGACTATTGATATGGCCTCATAATTGACATATTATCCCTAAACCAATTTCGATTTTCCACATTGATTCAAACACTCTTATTCACTTAGTTGAAAAGTCCATGTCTGCTCTAAAACCATTAAAGTGCAGGCTTGTTTCTCTTAAAACTAATTTCCAGCCATTAAAAAAGTTTGCCCATTAATAATAAAAACAAAAGTTGTAATCATTGTCGGAAGAATGGAGCACAAGTTCTTATTCTGAATTGTATTTGAATGTGTGTGTGTAATGATGGAAGTAAATATTAATTCAATGAAATGCAAGTGTCTTAGTTTGGGCCCTTTGGGTTGCTAGCAAAAGAACTTAAGCAAAAGGGGAACTTATTAGTATTTCCAAGTTAACCTTAAGGTCAGGAAGTGAAGGCTAGTGACTGGAAATCCATTTGGTTTTAAATCTTTGCCTTTCTGCACATCTTTGTCATTTTCTCTTTCTCTGCAAACAGATGGACTGTGACCACCCCCCAGCTCTGAACTTGTATATCTGTATCTAAAACAGACTCTTGAGATAGCCAGCATCTTAGCCCAAAGAGAGAATCTAAGTGGCTTACCCTGGGTCCTGTGCGTAGCTGGGGCCAGAGGACAGTTTCCTAGTCTGGTGCTAATGCTCACTCCAGTGACTGGGGACATTAAGGAAAGTGGAGTGGGAAGACACTCAGGAAGTACCTCCTACAATACAACTTTCACCAGCAAATTCCCCTAGACCCTCTTCCATTAAACAAGTATTCATCTGCATCAAAGGTAAATATGTTATTTCCTTGTACATCTCAGTCCATTCCTTACTCCACATTTTATACTCCAGCCATAAACTATTGTGTAATTCTACCTACCCATCCCCTGCTTACCACCCTTATTTTGTGCCTAAATTCCTGTGATCCTTTGTGCTTATCGTAGTTCTCTTCCAATCTTACTCTTTAGGAGCCAACCTCAATGTCACAGTTTCCAGAATGTTTTTCTGGACTTCTTCACCTTCCTAATTAGTCACCTTTCTTTTATGCATCACAAAGTCACTCACATAATTCTGTATCATCTGGCTCCATTGTTTGTGATTTACTACCTAGATACTGACATGTAGGCACTGTGAGCCTGACCTACTGGTGGGAACTCCAAAGTGGCTGAATGAATATACTCTAAAGTTTCCTTCTGGCTAATAATTGACTCTTTCAAGTTAAAAGAGTGTGTGTCATTACCTGAAATGCATGGTCTGCAGAGCCTCTTGGAATCGTTAACTCAACAAAGTTGGAATGGCAGGAAGTTCTAATCAAGCTCTTTCTTTCTTCCTTAGGGCTGTTAGCCGCCCTGGAGAAAGACCTGCTATTTACCTGGTGCCCTGATCACTAGTTTTCTCTTAAAACTTCTGTTGGGCCTGACCTTCCCTCCTTTTAGAAGCAATTTTGATCTAGCAAAGTAATGGTCGGCACATCAGTTTATGAAACCTTTTCTCTTTTCTGTGTATAAACATTATTTTTCAAAGTTAATCTCATTAACGTCCTGCGTCTCTCCAGAGTTTTAGTAAGTTGAAAGTACAAGGTTAGGCCTTTTGAAGTACATTTGCCTTGATGTTCAGTCCTCCTGTTTTTGTTTTTCCCACCCTGGTGTTGGGATCGAACTCAAGGCCACCAGTGAGTAGTGGAGCAAGCTCTACCACACAGCTACACCACACCCCCACTCTTTTGCTTAGTCAAGTTCACTTCTGCATTCCAGTCCTAAAGGATGTGACTTTATATATTTCCCATGTTGACTTGAAATGCACTTCTCTTTCTGTTTTTCCCCTCCCTCAATTAGGGTAATGTTGGCTGATCCCAAAAAGGAATTTTGCAAATATTTGACTGTTGTCAGTCTTGGGTTTGCAGGGAGGCCAGGATAAAAGAGCATTCCTTCTGATCCTGAGTTTCAAGCTTAATTTCTCCTCTAAAATAAACAAACAACAAGAATCCCTTCCACCTTTCCCTCCCCCCGCGCCCAGCCCTTTAGGTTCGTAGGGGCCCGCGCCCGCCCGGCAAGCCCTAATAAATGAATTAGTATCTCAGGAAGGCGATCACTGTGGGGCTGATATTGATCAGGGTCAGCCGGTGTGTTTGCCTGCGTTTGTTTCGGGGGTGGTTAATTGAGTGTCAGTCTCGGCCAGTGTCGTCTCGCTGGCGCCGGGTGCTTTTGGATTTGCTAATTTTCGTTAAGTGTCTCTAGCCGGCTTCTGGTCCCCAGTCTACCAGGGAGAACCTAGAGGCTCCTACTGATCAACAGTCTGTCTGTCTGGGCTTTATTGATCACAGGGCGGCTGGCTGGAGGTGGATGCACCGCGGAAGGAGGCTGAAAGCAGACCCCCGTGGCCGGCCGCCCCCTCCCGGGCTCTCCACCGACCCCTCCTCCGCCACGCGCGGCCTGGCGGGGCTCTGCAGGGGCGCTAAGCCGACGGCTCGCACGCCGCGCTACGGCAGCGCCACTTGTCCCTAGGGGACTGAGGAGGTGGGGAGAATCCAAGGGCGGTCACGTGGTCCCTGGTGTGTTTCGGTGGAACAAAAGAGAAGCCACGTGCTGGGGGAGGGGGACGGTGATGCTGGCCGGAGGCTGAGCTATAAAAGGGCTGGAAGGCAAAACTCGAGACCCACCCAGAAGCGGTGCCCACCCGGCGCCTTCTGAAGGTCATGCGCGCAGGAAGCCGCCAGGGGGCGCGCGGTAGACAGCAGCAAAGCAAACCAGCCCGGCTGGCGGCCCCAGACGCCGGCGCCGGTAGGAGCCGCGGGGCAGGTCCCGCTCCAGGCAGCGTCTGGACCCGCCCTCCCGGGTGCCGGGCTGATTGACAAGAGCCCAACAGCCAATCGGACAACGTTGACGCTGGAGGGGCGGGCCCCAGGGGCGGGGCGGGGCCTAGCCGGCTCCCCGCGCCTGGCGCTATTTACAGCGCGGAGCCGGGAGGGCAGCAGCGGACGCAGGCTGGGGAGCTCGCCGCAGGTTTGCTCGTGGCGTGCTCTTGGTGCTCCTGAGAGCTTTGCCGAGTGGCGGATCAGAAGGGAGGACAGCTGGTTAGCCCACGCACGAGTGCTGGCAGCGAGCTTGCGTCCGCAGAGCTGAGCGGTCGCAGGAGCGGGTGTCCGCGGAGAGAGATCGAGAAACTTTTCTTGGCTCCTCGGCGCGCCCTCACTCACGCTCCATGCTCCGGCCGCAGCCCGGCCCCTCGCCTCGCCGCTGACGGCGCCCGCCACCCGGGCAGGACCCATGCACTGAGCGCTCCGGAGGTCGTAGGCTGCAGCTGCGCCGCGGCTCCGGGAGCCGGCGGGGGCGCCGCGGCCGCGGGGGGCGTCAATGGATCGCCACTCCAGTTATATCTTCATCTGGCTGCAGCTCGAACTCTGCGCCATGGCCGTACTGCTCACCAAAGGTGGGTCCCCTCCGGCAGCCGGTGGTCGTCCACGCGGGATCCCCGAGGACGGGGCGCAGCCCGGCCGGGTGCGTGGGTTCTGGTGCCGGGGCTGCCGCCGCCGGGCTTTGAAGCCGGCTGCCAAGGCTTTGTTACCGGCGGGCCCGGTTCCCTCCCTCCCGCGCCCGAGCCGCAGGTCGCGACAAGTTGCTGTGTTCTTAGAAGTCGCGGCGGTGGCCTCGCGGCCGCCCCCTCCACCGCCCCGGGCCGGACGTGTTGGAGTACAGACTTCAGGGCAAGAGGTCGTCACAAGGTCTTGTTTAGCCGGTTGGTGGGGACTCCTGAAATTGGTGGCCCCCGCGGGGGAGCGGATCCCGAGTAGCCCGACACATCGCTGTCTCCCCGCCCGACTGTCCCATGCCCGCGGGTGTCGATGCTAGGATGTGCTGTGCGTGTGTAGTGTCTTCGTGTGTTTCTGGGTGTGTGAGCGTCTTTGTGGATGTTTTCGTGTTTCTGATTGACCAATGTGTATCTATGGCTCAAGAGTTTGCCCGTGTCTTTGAGTGTGCCTGCGTATTTCCGAATGTCCGAATGTGTCTGAGTGTCTCAGTGTATCTCCGAACGTGTCTTAGTGCGTGCATCTGCCTTTGCGAGTGTGTCTGCGTGTTCATGAATGCGTTATCTCTGAATGTCTTTGAGTGCAGATGTCCCTGTTTTTGTGATCCCTCCACTGTACGGGTCCCCTTGAGTGGGTGATCTGGGTGTGTGTCTGTTGCAGGGGTGTGCTGTGTTGGTCTTCAGTGATGGGGAATATAGGTGTTGTCACAGGTCTCATTTCTACTCACCTCGTGTTTTACAAACCCTGTTTTAAAAAAAAAAATCCCACAGGGTCAGTTTCTTCTTTCCCCTGTAGTGTTCATCTTTTAGTTCAAAATAACCCTAAGTCCTTCTAGATTTCAGGGTTCTCCTCACTTCTCCCCATGGACTCTACCTCCTGTTCTGTGAATGGTTTTTTCTTTTTAAGTAGAAAGCATTATTTAGCCTTTGCACCCCATACTTTTCGCTGATTGCCATGTAGCAGGCACGAGGTTAAAGGATAAGCTAGCCCAGCAAGGATGAGGTGCTACAGTATTTATTTATTTTGGAAGGAAGGGTGTAATTAACCCTAAATAACAGCCCTGCTGCCTGCAGAGGGGAGCCTCCTGGCCATATCAAAGGCCGGCAGAACTGGGAGGGACTGGGGCTGACATGAAGTCACAGATACCGAAACTATGTCCCTGATAATGATATAATTAGGGGATCAGGGATTTCTGACTGCAGCGGACTTCAAAGCTTTAAAAGAAGCCAGCAGTCTCCTGTAGCCATCTTGACTAAAGCAGACATTTTTGTTTAATCACTACATACAGTAACTAGAAAGGGGGCAGACAGAAGGGCATTGTTCACTGTTTCAAAATACCAGTCTCCCCTCCTGGCCTTCTGCATGCCACAGGAAGAAACCTTATGAAAGGACAGAAATACAGTGTTAATACAGTAATACAAAAGTCCATTCTCCTTGCTGAAATGTGGCTCCAGTTTTTTTTAAGTCTTAGAACTTTCCCAGTTACCTGTCAAAATTTTATTGGACTGTTTTAGGTCATTGAAAATACAGTATTTTAAATAGGTTCTCATAAACATTGAAGTAGCGTTTTACTTGTATTCAGTTTTCCTATTCTGCACCGGGTCTAAGGCTAATAGTCTCAAAATGGACTTCTAATCTGTTTTATTTCTACTTTAAATCTGTATATAGAATTTGTCAGACTAGAGATAGGGAATTATCAGCACTGGTGAGCTTTTTGCAAAGAACAAAGTGAGCTAGAGAAGAGAAGGGGAAAGAGCTGAAAAGAATGGCAACAGAGCTAGGTTCCAACTGGAAAGGAAGCACCGTAGACTAGAGAAGGGACTTGGACCCCAAGCCAGGATGGCAAGTGCAGATGGAGAAGCGAGTCCTCCACCTTTGGACTGTTAACGGGTTGCCAAAGATCTCTGTTGAGTTGGCTGGTTTTTCTTTGAGCCTTTGCAGCCTTGGTGAAAGCTGAGCACACCATGTGGTGGCCTGGAATTTGGACAGATAATTAAATGAGACACCTTACTCAGGCATTCACAGAAAGGAGGAGGAAAAGTGAGGGTGGGAAGAGCTTTGGAAAGCTGCAGCTCCATGTGTTTAATTTCTCAGAGGAAAGTTTCTGTAAGGAGACAGATCTTTCCCCCGATTTGGACCTGGGAAGAGGTGTGTGCATTAGTTCAGTTTACAGTAGCTGGAGCTGGGGTAGGTAACAATGACCAGAGTCCACCAGTTCAGAACCAGATTACTTTAGCCTGAAATCTTGCATTGTGACAAAATGTGAACAGACCCTTGCAACTCACAAAATAAGTTTTATAAAGGAAACTTTTAATCACTTCCTGTAGAAAAATTGGAGGTTTCCTTCAGGATTTTTCATTCATCCAGCAGAGGATTTTCAGTTTGAATGGTTCCCTTTTAGGTCACATGTTAAATTACATGTAAAACAGAAGAGGAGGAGAAGTTAGCCCTGCAGCTTTACCACCACCACCCCAACCCCCCTTTTTATGACTTTCCATTTGGGCTGAAAGAAATTGACTTTGGCAAGCAAACCACTAATTGTAAACTGCCTAGTTCCTGTTTTACAATATACTGACTAAAAGCTCCTCGGCATGAAAAGATCTTTATAGGCAAAGTTTGCCTTTTCTAGAGAGCTTGCAAATAGCTACCCGGTTTCATAGTTTTAAAACCTCCTGACCTGGGCAATTTCTAGATTGTTGTGTTTCTAGTTAATAACTTTATAAGGTGTTAGCTCAAGCTCTTAAATCTTGGCTTGTCCTTAGGGATAGTAAACAATTGAATAGTTCTGATCAAATATTTATCCTGACGAAACCCAAAAGCCTTGCAGTTTTACATGGTATGGTTATATAGGATTAAAATGAATAAATAATGTGATTTACCTTATGATAGAGGAATTAAAGTGATGACTGCTTTCCCTGCAAAACTAAAAGTATTTTTAATTATTCTAACTCATCAGCACTCCACTATGGATATTTATTATTTCCTAAAATTATATTTCATTGACATTTTAAGTGCTGACTGTTTTCAGAGCATTTCCAGTCTACATGGGCTGCTACGGTAGGCTTAAATTAGTGCCTTTGAATTGGGGATTTAGCAATTGCTCCCATAGTTGCTTTCTCTGGTCTTGACTTTGACATTTGGGTCCTCATTGTTTGCAGGAGAAATTCGATGCTACTGTGATACTGCTCACTGTGTGGCGACTGGATATATGTGTAAATCAGAGCTTAGCGCCTGCTTCTCTAGACTTCTTGATCCTCAAAACACAAATTCCCCACTTACCCATGGCTGCCTGGACTCTCTCGCAAGTACAGCAGACATCTGCCACGCCAAATTGGCCCAAAACCATTCAGGCACCACCATGCCCACATTGGAATGCTGTCACGAAGACATGTGCAATTACAGAGGGCTACATGACGTCCTCTCTCCTCCCAAGGGTGAAGCCTCAGGTAGGTCGCAGCCTTTCTTAACCCCCTTGCCTGCCTGATCTATAGACCTGTGACAGCCGCGGCTTTGTATGTCTGCTATTGATTTTGTTGTTAATGTAATTAGAGACAGCCAGGGAGAAGCAGGGCTGGCTGCAAAGGCGCATCTCTACTGGGTGACTTTTATGTCTGCCTAGCATTCAATGTCTGTCTACGTAATAGGTTTTGCCTGTCTTTTCAACATTTTGAAGACATTAAAAGACCATTAAGTTTCAGTCATGACAGTCTATAAACAAACACGGTTGTAAGCTTCTTTGGATAATTTTGCAGCCTTTATTTTCTGAATATTATTGATTTCATTGTGACGAGATTCTTGTTTCAGGAGGATGAATGATCATGACTTGTCTGCAGGAGGAGTTAGTTTACCCCAGAAGTTTGATCATTTTCTTTTTACTCCTTTAGGACAAGGAAACAGGTATCAGCATGATAGTAGCAGAAACCTGATCACCAAGGTACAGGAGCTGACTTCCTCCAAAGAACTGTGGTTCCGGGCTGCTGTGATAGCTGTTCCTATTGCCGGCGGGCTGATCTTAGTGTTGCTCATTATGTTAGCCTTGAGGATGCTCCGAAGTGAGAACAAGAGACTGCAGGACCAGCGGCAGCAGATGCTCTCTCGTTTGCACTACAGCTTTCATGGACACCATTCCAAAAAGGGACAGGTTGCAAAGTTAGACTTGGAGTGCATGGTGCCAGTCAGCGGGCAGGAGAACTGCTGTCTGACCTGTGACAAAATGCGACAAGCAGAACTTGGCAACGATAAGATCCTCTCCCTCGTTCACTGGGGCATGTACAGTGGTCACGGGAAGCTGGAATTCGTATGACGCAGTCTTATCTGAACTTGAACTTCTCATATGCTTGAAGGCCTTGGAGTTCTACTGGACAGGAGCACTTTATCTAGAGACAACAAACTCATGTGATCCATCTTTGAGACAAAATGACCTCTGCAAACAGAATCTTGGATATTTCTTCTGAAGGATTATTTGCACAGACTTGAACACAGTCAAATGTAGTATTTGCTTTAAAATTCTAAAAAGCAAAGTGAGGACTATGTACACACTGTCACCAGGGTTATTTGCATCCCAGGGAGCTGGAATCGAGTACTTAAATAAACCCAATGTGCTCTATGGAAGCTCCTACATCTTGATTTATTGTAAAGATTTTTAAAATATATATATATATATATTTTTGTCTGAAATTTAGTGGTGTCTTTCTAATTTGAATACTTACATGGGGGAGCTCAGGGTAGAGCTCAGTGGTATAGCACTGTCTAACATTCAAGAGGCCCTGAATTTGATCCCCAGCACCACAAAAAAGAAACCAAAAACAGAACACAAAAGTAAAATATTGAAGTGTAAAAAAGTACATGCTAGTTAATCAAATGAAGGTCAGTTATTACTCTTACCACCTTCTCAACTGTAGGATTTGGCTTGATTTTTATTGTAATTAAAACAAGAGCTTGTGTATTTTCACACAACATTAATTTTCTTGTAGTGTTTCTAACTGCTGGTCATTCAGTATATTGTCTATGGGTTTTTTTTTTTTTTTAGGATAACTCTGGTTTTAGATTCCCTCTAAGAATTTTCTTTCTCTTTGTTTTGGTACTGTTAAGAACCGCAGAGCCTTGTTAGAATATTCTACTACTGAGTTTACACTTCCAGCCCTGAGAGAATTCTTAAGCTGATTTATACGAGGTCAGAGATGGTAGATGCATTTCTGAAGTTGCTGTGGGAAAGATAATATTTATCAGTTTCATCTAGCTGCTCTGAAGTAACCTTTTAAATATGTTCACCTCCACCCTACCTCAATACATCGGAGGTTAAAGCTGGTCACGTCCACTTCCTGTAACAGTTGATTCATTGACTGGTTTTTTCTGTCTCAAACCAGATTTAATAATTTGCCTCCCACATAAGCTAGACTTCATTATACATTGCTCCTGATTTTCAAACTTTGTTCTTCAACACAATTATAGTTACATTTAACTTTTTTCTTTTTTTTAGCTCTTTCAAGAACATCTTTACCAATTGAGACTTTTAATTAGCAGAGTGCTATGTAGGTACTTAGGTTACTTTCCCAAAATGGGCATTTGTTAATACGGCCAAATAGAACATGGGTTTTAGCAAGGAGAGTAAGGTTCTTGCCTTCTGTTAAGACTTTTCTATCTGGTAACAGCACTTAAACCTATGCCAGGTTTCTGTACTTTCCCCCAAAAATGGATCTTGGTGATCTTAAATGTGAGACTAGTTTTCCATGGAGGGGTTTGTTTTTTTTTCTCAATTCTTTCCTGTATTTGAAATTTTTTGCTTAAAAATTAATCTATAAACTGCATATTTAAGGAAGATGTTTTCTTGTATTAGTGTTAAACATTTTTTGGCATACTTTATGAGAATATTTCATGATAACATAATTTGGATTCCTTAACATAGGTATAGTAGCAAGTTCATCAGATATATAAAATGATTACCTAGTTATTATACATATTTTATATGTTTACATATAGATACAAATATATTTACATATAATCATTATTATTAATTCATTTTTGCAGTAATGGATTTGAACCTAGGGCCTGGAGCACATCAGGCAAATCCTGTGCCTCTTAAGTCACAACCCCAGTCCTAAATTTTTGTGGGGGATGTGGTAGTGCTGGGGTTTGAACTCTGCCTCATGCTTGCTAAACAAGCACTGTACCACTTGAACCACTCCACCAGCCCCTAAATTATTTTTGACAGTTACTAGGCCACTATCCTAAACAAATAGGTTATGCAATAAATTCACATTTTAATAAATGACACCATATGTGTTGCACCTTTTTTTAGATTGACAGCTTTTTACATGCATACCTTAAAATTTTTATAAAAGGTGTTAAATTTTATGTGTCAATTTTTTTGTGTGGAGGCTTGGAACCAAACCCACAGATTCTGCATCTTTGCACATACTGTACCACCACACAGCTGCACCTCCAACCCCAAATGTCTGACAGTTTTTGAGGGAGTCAAAGACTTGTTGAACTTAGCCATTCAAACTTGTATAGAGAAAAGAGTTGATCAAAATTGTCAGTTGGTGAAATTTCTACCTTTGAGGCTACTATCTGCATCTTGATCAAATTATAGTAGTTTTGTTGCTTGAAGATTGAGACTTGGTCCTCATGTACTTTTTCTTGTACAGTATCATGCAAGGTGAATGATTTTTTTTGGAGGGAGGGTGGAGGTAGAGATAGGGTCTCACTATGTACCCCAGGCTTACCTCAAGTCTAAGATGCTCCTGATTGCTTCCTGAGCTCTGGGATCAGATCACAGGCCTGTGCCACCACCACAAGGTCAATGATAAAGTTCAAGTTCTATGTGTAGTCACAGTTTCTTCCTGTCAGAGATCTGCACACATCTTGACTTTTTGATGAAACTATTGCAGGCTTTTTAACTTTGACCTTTACTAAGAACTGCATATAGACTTGACTTTCGCCTTTCTAGGCGAAAGTCAAGAGGTTGCCACCACGCAGGAGACAGGACTGCCTAGCTGATTTGATGACATAAAGAAGGGGTGGGACTAGCTCATTTATTTTTACCTCTTAGAGATGTGTAGTATTAATTTGCTAATCCGAAGCAACCCTTGTTTGATACTGACATAGAACTACCCCAAAGGTATTTTTCCTTTCTAAGTGGAAATTTGCTCAAACCAGAGACAAATAGGACTAAAATTGCCAAGATGTTTCTATATCTGCACCCCTTAAATTCTACTCCTTTTGAAAAAAACTGATCTGTGCCTGGTTATGTCTTTTATGTTATTCACCTCCCCCGCCCCTTTTATTTTGAATGGCTCAGAGGCTTCATAGAAATTGACTATAGTGTGTCTCTAATTTCTGTTGAACTGATTTTATTAAAAACACTGCACCATAGGGGTTTGCCCTTCTAAAATGCCAAACATGTCTGCTTTAGAAAAATCACAAAGCTCTCCTGAAGCACTGGTAAATCTGGTTTCAATATGGGTTGATTATAGGCTAAAAGCCTGACAGCAGTGGCATCCAGTGTCACCACTGGAACTGGCCTTTTGGGGCCCCAACAGCTTTTTCCTTATAACCTCTAGTTAGTTCTTTTCTCTGCCTCTTACACTAAATGACTTTAAACCTCCAAAGCTCTGTCAACTTAGGCAAATTATGTAAGCACTTTGAAGTCTCAGTTTTGTTGACTGTAAGATGGGGGTAATGATAAAACTATAGGATAATTGTGAAAAGATATTTCTGCAGAAGGCCCTGGGTTCCATCCCCACACCAGGAAAAGGAAAAGACATGGCAACTATTTCTGATAAATACACAAGAATCTCAGACTGAGCTCAGTGTTAGAGCTTGTGTGAAGCCCTTGGTTCTGTCCACTCCCACCACCTCCCCCCACCACACACAAAAAGTGTCTCAGATGGACTAGATTGCCCCAAATAGTATTCCCTAAAATGTGAGAACTTGTACCCACTATTTATACAATGGGTTGTTTTTACTTGACTTTAATATTCAAATCTGAGGGCTGGAGGTGTGGCTCAAGTGGTAGAGCACTTACCTAATAAGCACAAAGCCCTGAGTTCAAAACACCAGTACCACCAAAAAAATAAAAAATAAGCCTTCAAATTTGAGATTTGCAGGCTGGATTAGGCATTTTTAATACTCATTTTCCATTTACTGCTTCTGCAAATGCTTTTCTCGTTTCTCCTAAATGTGTTTTGTAACTCTTTTCTTTTGGAATAATCTGGATGGCTGCTGATTAAGAACACTTCAATTTCACACACTTTTGAGTTTTTGGGTGTTTGACAGAAGTTCCCTGTGAGTTTCAACTGTATAGGGTTGATTAGGCCCAACGTTGAGAAGATTAAGGGAGCCTAGTTAGGTGACAAATAATGTGTCAGTAGTGCACAGCTGTGTCTGCTGGATGCATTCTGAACACATGCCTCTATCAGTGACAAACGGCCTTAGTGCTGCTCCCAACAAAATAACAGAGGAGTTCCACGACTGGTATTTGGGAGGAGGGGGAGTAGTTAGTGAAGAATTGTTTCATTTCTCTGGAAGGAGTTAATTTGGTTTTTTGCTCTGTGGGCCACGGAGATGTCTAAATCCCCTTCCTACCCCCAATTCATTCTGTCAATGCTGCCCTCAGTCTGCTGCTCATGGCGGCAGATCATTGATCTGAGAATTTGATCCATGAAATGATGAAATGAAACCCTGTGTCAAATTTGTCCACCTCTTTATTTGGGGCATGGTGTACACTCCCAAACACATCCTTGTTAACTGCTGACATGGCACACT